TTTGCTATTTTTTTTTTCTTCTATTGTGTTTTGTTTCCTCTTTCTGGTAGTTCCTCCTATTGGTTCTTATTCTTACTTACAACATCACTAATGTGAAAATATGTTTAATAGGAATGTATACGTATAGCCTATATCAGATTGCATGCCCTCTTGGAGAGGGAGGGGGCGAGGGAGGGGGAAAAAATTTAAAACTCCAAAGTTTATGGAAATGATTTTTGAGGGGCAGCTAGGTGGCGCAGTGGGTAGAGCACCAGCCCTGAAGTCAGGAGGACCTGAGTTCAAATCCGGCCTCAGGCCAAACACTTGACACTTACTAGCTGTGTGACCCTGGGCAAGTCACTTAACCCCAAATGCCTAAAAAAAGAAAAAAAAAAGAAATGATTGTTGATAAATCAAAATAAATTACTTCTAAAAAAAGAAAAACTATGGAATAAAAAAAAAGTTGATTATTCATAAGTCTGCTTGTATAGAGAATCCTTAAAAGGAAATATTTTATTTGCTGTATTTTATTTATATACAGGTCCCAATTTCTTCTCTTTCTGAAGAGCAATTGGAAAACTTAATTAAGAAATTGAGAAAAGTCAGTAAAGGTAAGTCTGATTAAAATTGGACAATAAAATATTTTATGGCCTTAGGTGATTAGATGTTATATTAGTTGATAGCCTGTTTTAATAAATGACCCTGGAGTTAGATCCTTAAGTTTTCATTTTTCAGCTTGCTTAAGTTTTTGCACTTATATTTTTGACATAGGTATGGATTGTACACTTAAAGATCAAATAATGTCACATCCTGCATTGCATGATGTCCTAAATGACCCCAAAAATGGTGATTCTGCATTCAAGCATTTGAAACAACAGGTATGGACTATGCTGTAGTATCTATATTTAATGAAAATTGTTTACTGTTCCATGCATACAACTAATTCCCAGAAATAATATTTCTAGGTATAATTAGTAAGAGAATCTCTTCTAAATTTATCCTTTAATGTATCATCATGGTGTAGAAGTGACCCTGGGTTCTTAAATGATGTGTTAGTGGGTTACAAGCTCTCGCAATGCCTACCAGGTTACAATGACTTATGCCCAATGATACACTATGTGTCTTTTGTCCAGTGTTCAGGCTTAGCTAAATTCAGTGAGGCTGATCCTTAGATTGGCCACGGAGTAATAATATCTTAACCATAGCAATTTTTTTTTTGGCTGGGAAGATTGGGTTTCCCTATCTTACCTAGGCTGCCACTGGTGGTCCTGATCTCACTACTGATCAGTACCTTTCACCTGATCCCTTTTCAAACTGGGCAGGTTTGCCCCTTCCTCTACCTCTACCTTCCATCTCTACCCTACCCATGTCACTTAAGCAATTTACCACATTCAGCTAGATCGCTCAGAGTTCCTAAACTCAAGCAATCCACCAGTCTCACCCTTTTCCAGTAGCAGAGATTACAGGCATGTGCTACCATACCCAGGCCCATCGTTATTCAGTCATTTTTCAGTCATGTCCAACTCTTCGTGACCCCATTGTTATTCTCTTGCACAAAAATAACTTGCTTATAGTCTCATCAGGTCTGTTCTAAAGGCTGTTTCTACTCACCAGGATTTTATGGGAACAAGCATAAAAGCTGGTCACAAAATTAAAGTAAATGAATATCAAATTTAAATGATCAATATGAATATATTGACCTTTCTTAATTAATTGAACATATCAAATTACATTGTCATTTTTCTACATTGGACCAAATGTTTTTTTGGTTTTTATATGAAATAATCTTAAGAAGTTTACAGGCTTCAATTTTAGGTAACATTGAAAGATTAAATTTACTGGGACCAAGAAGGTGCTTTGTTGAGTTTGGAGCTGGAAGGGGAAAATTGTCTCATTGGGTTGGTATTGCCTTACAAGAAGCTGAAAAAGTCTACTTCCTGCTAGTAGAAAGGGTGACCACAAGATTCAAGGTAGGTTAAAACACTAAGATATGTCAGCCTCATGTTTTGGATTTGTCTTTAGAAAATGGTAGTCTCAGGGGCAGCTAGGTGGTGCAGTGGATAGAGCACCGGCCCTGAAGTCAGGAGGACCTGAGTTCAAATCTGGCCTCAGACCAAACACTTGACACTTACTAGCTGTGTGACCCTGGGCAAGTCGCTTAACCCCAACTGCCTAAGCAAAAAAAAAAAAAGATAGAAAGAAAGAAAAAAAAGGAAAATGGCAGTCTCTTAGAAGTCAAGTATTTAGAAGGAAACATTAAGTGCTATTTATTTTCAAGGTGCTACTAGACTTTGCAGTTATAAACATAAAAACAGAACAGGTCCTGATTTTAAGGAGCTTACGTTCTCCTGGGGATTAGAGGGTGGGTGGGTGGGGAAGAGTTGGCTACAACATGTAGAACACAAGTGTAAATAAGTACTAAGTATCTAAAAAGTAATTCCAAAAGCAAGAGAGTCCAAATAACTGTGGGGTTCAATTAGGACCTCCTATAGCAGGTGGCACCTGAGCAGGGCTTTGAAGGAAGGACTATCAATCCTCCTCCTGGGTGGGTCGGGGAAATCTTAATTTTTTCTATTTCTAATGATTGTGTTTGACTTAAATTGCATCAACACAACTTACAGCCTTTGCTCCAAGTTTTTAAGAGTATTTGGAATTATCACCAAATACTAGCCATGAAGGTAACATCCAACTTGTGTTCTTGATTGTTTTATAGTTCTAAGGCTTTACAATAATGAAAACATAAATAAGATTTACTTTGCTTCATATTTTGTATGAAAATCAAAAGACATTGCTGATATTTTAAAGTCTTATGAAGTGTTTTAAATAAAAATTCATTGTAATAATGGTATTTTATTTGTGCAGGTAGATGGTAAACACAAAAACAGAAACTCTGTATTTGAAAGGCTTCAAATTGACATTCAACATTTATGTTTGAGTAAGTTGTATAATTTTCAGTTAAATGGTAATAAATTATGTTTCCAAACTCTGCTGGTTACTTAGAAATCCCATCACAAAGAACATTGTTTCAGGGGAAACTCAGGAGTAAAAATATTTAATCTTTCACATTGTAGACCTTAATAACATCATAGAAAGAAAAAGAGGATGATGCTAGAGATGGAATTCTATTTCAGTCATGAGTCGCACAGAGACTCTGTCCATTTGTGAGATTTTGTGATTGGTATTTTTTGACTATAAGTTCAGTGTAGCAAAAAAACACCCAATTTGTTATCAGAAGACATCCCAGCTAGCAGAGCTTTTAGAATCAAGACCTGGGTTCAAATCCTACTTGAGATATCACTACCTGTGCAATCATGACCTAGCTACATAACTGCTGAAAGCCTCATACAAAGAGAAGTGAAACAGCCCCTACAGTCTACTAAGGGGAAACAGTATGACTCCAGGGAAGTCATCACCAAGTAATCTTAGTGGGAAAGAAGCGGACGAACAGCCAAAGGGCTCAAGAATGGCTGCATGGAGAAGGTAGCACTTGAACGGAGCTTCGAAGGGAGCCAGGCATCCCACAAAATAGAGGTGAGGAAGGAGAGCAGCCTTCCAGGTATGAGGAAGACTGCATGTAGGTAAAAGGTAGAATGTCATGTAAAGGAACAGCAAGTCAGCAGTGGCTGGCATGTAGATCACCTGGGGTAAGGAAGGTGAAATCAGGTAGATAGGCTGGCACCAGATTTTAGAGAGTTAAACACCATTTTATCCTACAGACATTAGGGGTCACTGGCACTTCTTGAAGAGGGGTGAGATGGTCAGATCTATCCTGTAGAACTATCATTTCATCAGCTATGTGGAGGAAAAATTGGAGAGGGCAATGACTAGAGACAGGTCACCAATAAATATTGGAATTAGTCCAGTTGAGAAGTAATGAAGGTCTGAGCTAGGATGGTAACCGTGTGGGTAGAGGAAAGGAGAGGCTTTGGATGACTCTGAAATTGCAAACTAGGGTGATTGAAGGTTGGTTTGATCTTCAAGAGAAATAAGAAGATTTAGATGAGTAGTGAGTTTCAGGGGGAAATCAATTTTGGACATGTTGAACTTGAGGTATCAATGGGACATCCAACAAGAAGATGGTGATGTGAGACTGGAGATGTGCTCAGGAGAAAAATAAGGGGATTGGACTCCGTAACATCTAAAGTTCCATCCAACACTGAAATCTGAGGATCCTAAATCCTAAATGCTGCCTCTTCCAAGACTGGCCCATTTAGTATTTCACATAATGTTCTGTTAAGCAACTATCTAATACACTTAACAGGTAACATTGTGTATTATAGTTATCTGTCTTTGCCCCTTATGATCTTATGAGACACTAAGCTCCATGGAGGGAGGGCTTGGGTCTTAGACCCCAGTTTCTAGCCTAGTCTCTGCTCACAGTCAGTATTTAACTATTTGTGTTATTGAATTGGTTGATTATTTTTATGGTAATATCTGTCTCAATCATGACTCTAGGGTGATGAATAATTAAAAATTGCATTTATATAGCACTGTATGGTTTGCAAAACACCTTACATGTATTAATTCATTTGATCAATTAAATTAAATCAATTCATGGAGACAGTCAGAAAACAATCAGAAGCAATGTGGTGTCGTGATAAGAGGGCTTAACTTGGGATCAGGGACCAAGGTTATGATCATAACTGATATTGGCTGATGACTTACTTTGTCAGTCAAAGTATGAATGACTCCTTTTACAGATGATGACCATTACAACTCTCAAATTGTATAGTTCTTTGGTTCTATTAGTTTTCTCTCTTTCTCCCTCTCTCTCTGAAGAGAGATATTTTTTTTCCTTTCATAAGAGATTTATAATCTAAAGGCTTCTCAGTTTTCCCATCCTTTTTTTTTTTCAGGCAAAATACCTGTGCTAATAAAAGAAAAGTTACCTGTGGTTGGTATTGGAAAACATTTATGTGGTGTGGCAACAGGTATGAAATATAGAAGCATAAAAATGTGCAGATTAGACATGCTCATTCTAGTCTTTAATTTGACATAATATCTTGTAATTATCTATCTACTTGTATCCTTGATCCCATCCTTCTACATGGGAACATAGGTTTAAAGCAGAAATGGACTGAAGAGGCCATGTAATCTAACGCCTTAATCTTGCAGATGGAGAAACTGAGACCCAGGCAGGCTAAGTGACTGCCCAAGGTCACAAAGATAGTAAATTTCCCTTCTCCAGGACCTTTTATCATCTCTTCTCTCATGCATCTTAAATCTCTGATATTCCTCTGCATTCAATCACCACTCTGGTTCAGGTCTTCTTCACTTCTCACCTGGACTATTACAATATCTTTGTAAACTGGCCTCTCTGCTTCCAGTCTGTCCCCTCTCCTATTCATCCTCCACAAGACCGCCAAAAATAGTCTTCCTAAAGCACACATCTGATGGTCACCACTGTTCTGTTCAAAGATTTTTAGTGGATCCCCATTTTATGTCGAGTAGCATACACATTCCTCAGCCTGACACATTCCTGGCACAATATGACTGCTTATTGTAAGTTTTTCATCTTCTACCTCTGTGCCTTTGTCCCACGCTTGGAATGGGCTCTCCTCATCTCTTCTTTGAATCTGTCACTGCTTCAGCACTCATCCCGAGCACCACGTCCTATATAAAGCCTTCCTTGGTCCCTCTAGCTGTTTCTCTCCATCCTTAAATTATTTTGTATTTACCTTTGTTTATATATTGGATCATCCAGGAGAATACAAACTTCTTGAGGATGGGAATCACTTTTCATTTCGTAATCCCAGCACTTTATGCATAGTAGGTACTTAACAAATGTTTGTTTAAATTAATTGAATTTTCAAGTTTCCCCAGTCCTTTAAGAAACAAACAAAGGCTGTCTTCAATCCTTGTACCCTTTCCAGCTGCTATCCCCTTACTTCTCTTCACGGCCAGATTTCTTGAAGAAGTAGCACAACACTAGATGGTCCCACTTCCTTAAAGTCAATTTCTCTTTTATAATCTGGTTTCTGTCTCTACTGTTCTCCTAGAGCTTTTCTTTCAAAGGGAGCCATTAACCAATGCAGTGCCTTTTTTCCAAACTTTCATCCTTATTGACCTCTTTTAAAAATGTGATACTTTTGACTACTCTCTCTCTGTGCTTCTAGATGTTTTCCTTTTGTTTAGCTTCAGACATATTACTCTCTGGCTACTCTACTACTCTTTTTTCCTCCCTTGGATCACTGTTCTCTTGGATCTTTGTCTCAAGGTTTTGCGTGTCACCCCTTTCTCCACGCCTTTTCGTTAGACAGTCCCATTCATTTGACACAGCTTCAGCTTATACAAATGATAAAGGCTTCTCTAGCCATATCCCCTTTTCTGAACTCCAGACCTGACTATGCAGCTGCTCAGCATGTGCCCACCAGATTGCCCGCTTGCACATCAAATTCAGAATGACCAAACCTTGCTATTTCCCCTCACACCTGCATCCCTTTCCAGAACCATATTTTGATCAGTAGCTTTGCCACTTTACCCATTTTCTTCGGTTCAAAATCTTAGTGATATCTCTGATTCTTTTTTTTTTATTAATTTATTTTTATTTATCAGCAATCACTTCCATAAGCTTTTGAGTTTTAA